AACCTGCAAACTAAACCGTCGCCTAAGCCATGTATACTTAAGGTATCAATCTTGTTACTCTTAAGGGTAGTGTTCCACTGAAGACAGGCCTTTAGGAAAAGCTTACCAATATCCAGCCTCTGACCCTTTTAATTTCCTGTTTTTTTTAACCACTTTCATATCCTTTCTTTCCAAATTCAGTTTCCATTGCAACTCAGTTTATGCTATAGTTAAGAGTGTTTTCATTTATCCTAAGAGTTTGCAGTCTTTCTTTAACTCATGAAAGTATGTTAAATTTCCCAATCTAACAGGCTAATGGATCTGCAGTAAAGTCTAAAAGCTGTAAAGTTGTACCTCAAGCTGGTTGCTGTAAGGATGGTGAGTTTACAATTTATTTTAGAAATTGATTTTCAACAAAATGATAATCCATGGATATGGAAAAATACCAGCTAATACCAAAAACAAAAAATACATCTTGTTAGTATGTTTTGATTAAAATTTACCAGAAATCAAGGCATTTAAGGCCAGTATTTAAAGTACATTTAAGTATTGCATTAGTGGGATCAGTGCAGGTTATACATGCATGTGACAACATCCTAGTTCTGCTGTATCAAGATTGTGTGGATGGTAATTTAGTTCATTTATGAGTTTCATTAATTAATCACTGTATTTTTTTTTTAATAATTCAAGGCAAAGATGGAAAGGATGGACAACATGGTGAGTCACATTAAAGAAGCTGTGCCACGAAATTCAGCCAAATTAGCAAAATTACAAAATGCGCGTTAAATCCAGGACAAACATAAAAATAACCGCTTAAAACATTAAAGGAAGGTTAAAATAACACAACAGATACAACAGATGCTACGGATGGGGAAAACTGAATAAGATTGAAACGGATTGAAATTAGGGTTTTTGAAAACTCAGTTACCTAACAGTTTTTCAAAGTTAATCCCTGCTGCTTGCAACTTCAAAAATAATGCTCAGGAGACATATTTGTTTGTCTCGGATCTCTGATTTTGTCATTTATTTGTTATTTCTTTGCTTACTTTAAGTTCCATAGCAATTGTCAGGGCAAGTAATTTGCAAAATTAAACAAAATGAAGTGGACTGCCGTGACTGCCTTCATTACCATTTACATTAATACAACATTATATAATTTAGAAATAATTAGTCTTTTGTTATAATCAATTGTTATTTTTGGTAATTGCAGGAAAAGATGGGCGCGATGGAGTGAATGGTGATGTACATTATTTTATTAAATATTACTAGTAATAAAGGTTGCGGAGTGTGGGCAACAACGATTGAATGTCAAAATGCTTTCACTCCGATCCAGTGCTGTGCTTTGTGTGGTGGTCAAAATATACGTGATTACAAGTGATATAAGGTCCAAACGCACGTGCTCAAACTGTGTTCTGTGCATTCCATACATTCTTTGTGGAAGTCCAAACGAATGGCTACATACATGCAATGCATGTGTAATAACAACCTGGAGATTAGAATTGCAGGCTCCTCTTGTCGCCCGTGATTATCCTTTATACAAATACAAACATGTCAATATATACTTGCCAACTCTTTCTGAGTCAAATTAATAAATTTATTTAAATGCATGAGATTTTTGTCCTTTCATGGCAGGAGTTTCTTAAAACATCCCAGGTACTTCCACATATTTCCAACAATTTTCCGAAGACTTCCAAACTTTGCCAAAAAATGTGTGAAGTTGTTCTGACAACCTTTAAGCAATTCTGAAGTTATTTCAAGTGTCAAAGGGAAATTGAATTGAATTTTTCAGGGTTCGCACAGTCTTGAAAAGTCCTTGAATTTTAGGGGAAGTCCTTGAAAAGTCCTTGAATTCCATTTTTCCTTGAAAAGTCCTTAAATTTCTGTGCAAGTCCTTGAAAAGAGCTTGAATTTTCTTCAACTTTGAATGTAGTAGCCTGGAAAGAATTTTTTGATGCTTTTTGGTTGTCCAAGACAAAATATAAATCGTAGCTCAGTGAATGTAAAGGTCATTTACATAAAGTGCTCCATGTTTTATGCAATAATTAACTATCAGTTTAAGACAAGTGAACTGAAAAATGTAGAGAATTTGGTGAAGCAAACAGTTAACGCCTTAAAGTCTTATTAGAATATACTGGGAATATGCATTTTTGTACAATCTGTGAAATTATATTCCTAGTAGGTAGTTTTTGAAAATCTAATGTGGTCCTTGAAAAGTCCTTGAAAAATGGTTGCAATTTTTTGTATGAACCCTGTTTTTGTCATTAATCATGTGTTAAAGAACAATTATTATGTTTGTCAGGTGTGAGAAATTGTCCTTGTCTCCGAGTGAAATCAAGGTCTAGAAATAAGTTCCCAGGCATGAAACTCATGCATAATGTGTTAGAGTTGTCAGACATACTGTAACAATTATTCTCAAAATAAATCTTAACCATGGCTTTCCTTCTTGTTATCCCCCCTGTTGTAGCTTGTTGTCAGTGTTCTACCCTAGCTTGTTATATTACTAATCCAAGGCTGTGCTCTAAGAAATATTGTAGGGAGTCCAGTGCTCTGAACCTGTGAAAAACAGGGAGCCAAGCATCAGATTTGTATGGGAAAGCTAAGATTTCCTAGTTGCTCAAGATCAAAAGTAATGGTTTGGGGGCCACTGACTGGGCGCTGCTCAGTAGAGCATCAGCAGTGGAACCTCGATATAATGAATGGCCTAGGGACTGGCAATAATATAACAGTCTATAACGAGGTTTCATTTTATTGAGGTTTTTTTGTGATATATTTTACTATCATGACTGGGGTAAACAAAATATTTTGTTATACCGGGGACTTCGTTATATAGAGGTTCCACTGTATCACTTTAATTTGTTTATTGTCTTGAACACAGGAAAAGATGGCCGTGATGGACGAGATGGCAGTGGAACAAAGGTTGGCTTTTTTAAGCTTCAAACATTGCTTTCTCTTTTTGCTGGAAGAAAAGTTCAGAAGTTCAAATTAAATGACCCATGGAGCTGTATGTCTCCAATAAAATGGTCTCTGTAGTGTGAATATATCAAGTTGCCAAAAAAGAGGTTTTTTTGGACATTTGGGCTTGTGTCTTTCCAGAGAAAGAAGAATGAGATGTTAAATTACTTTTAAAAAACCAGATAGTTTGCAAAAACGAAACATGACTAAAAAAATAATATAAATTATGGACTTATTATAAAAATTGGAACGCAACTCTAAAATAGTTAGCCAACTTTTTAAAGTTGTGTCACTGTGTATTGGACAAATAAAAATTGCTACATAAATCTATTTGATTTGCTTTTTCCCTCACTGATTCACTTGTAAAACTTGCCGTTGGCACAATTAAGAGGAAAAACACCTGCTCATGTTTTTAAGACGGAACCCACAAATGTGAATAAATTGTATTGCATACGCTGTACCTCAGTTAATTATGTTATTTTAATGAAATGTAATTTCACCCCACTTTCATTTTTTAGCGGAGCTCCCGCGCGCGCGAAGCGCGCGCGCAGCGGAGCACCATGGGTAAGAAAATTTGGTAAACCATCCATCCCAGAAAATTTGGTTATGACGTAGCGTACGCCCGTCCGTACACACACTTCATGTAAGCCGATGTCAAATGTCACAATAGATCTGCTCAACTTGACTAGCCTCTTAGTTATGTAAGCTATCCGTATGAGTACGATTAGATTGACAGCTGTCAAAATCAGACATCCGCTGACAATTATCACATGACCGTCTCGCGGGCTCAGATAAAAGACCAGTCGTTTTGCCCCTATATATAAGCTGATATAATATGTCACACTTACCAATTCAACATAAAAACGAAACTACGCCGGGCAAGGCTGTCAGTTGGCTGACAGTCGTTTAAAGTTACATTGGCAGGCCAAATTAAGGTCAATTGACAGCTGTCAAAATGGGACATGTGCAGACCGCTATCAGAAAACTAATAACGAGGGCTCAGGTTCGCTCAGGTACACGATCTGGCATTTTCTACTACATGCCGGACGGAAATGTCCTACTCACACTCGTAGTCTGTTAATTCGAATATTCGCCGTTCTAATGAAGGTTAATTGACAGCTGTCAAACTAGAGTATACGCTGACCATCATCACCTGAGTGGATCGCGGGCTCATTTTTCTATCTATTGAGGTCACGTAGTGTTTAAAGTTTTGCGCTGATATTTTATTTGATCACGGGCTCAATTCGAAGCCCCATAGCTTTATAGAAAATGTATCCATCCTAGAAAATTCGGCAATCACGTGACCGTACCCGACCACCCGACCCTCCGTCTGTCCGCACCACAGGCATACTAATGTTTAATCTTACACTTTCTAGCTAGTTTGGGACCTGCAACCTGATATTGTACATCCATGTTTTGATTAATTGACAGCTGTCAAAACAGTGTTTCTGCTGACCAGTATCGCCTGACTGTATCGCGGGCTCAGGTATCGACCCTCTGAGTTCGAGTAATATTTTGAAGGTATTCGCTGACAAGTTGCTACTTTTCAAATGATCGCAGGCTCAAGTTCAATTTTTTTAAAATGCATATGAAATAAGTCGTATTTCATGAGCCGCACTTTTAAAATGTTGATTTCGAACTGATCTCGGACACGAAAATTCAACCGGCTTTTACATTTACATGCAGGGAAGGCAATCGCTTTTGACTTTTCTCACTGTCACGCGTTGATCACGCTCTACGTCCAATTTTTATGTTCTGATTGGTCAAAATTTGACAGGTGAGTTTATGCGGAAAATTTTTGCAGCGTCTGGAAACTTGCTTACTGATAGCTGGAGCTGAGAGAGTTTTGTGTCATCTTGTGATGTTTTAAACTGTCTTTTTCTACTTGGTGTACAAAATGAAATACAGCTGCTATCAAGATTGTTCTGTAATTCGTGGTTTGTTTATTGCGCTTTTTGTTGACAAATGCACCGCTTGTCAAAGTCATTGGAAATCCGATTTCGGATGGCATCGTTTTCAAAAATGAGCTTACTCACTAGCCCTTGCTTGAGGCGTAAGAAGGTTGAAAAGTCTCAAGCGATTCTGGAACACTTGATGACCTTCAGAAGCAGCATCTCGACTGGTAAGCTTGAGCCATTATTGTTTTTGATGTTTTTTTTTCGGTTTCCTGAAGTCGAGCGTATGGTTTATGCGGCTTAAGTTAAAACACGAGCAATGATCTAACCTACAATATCAACAGTATCAGCTTTAAAAAGCCTTTAGACATTTTTTGACCCGCAAATTCAAAGAAAAGGTTCCGAAGATTATTTAGTTATGATTTTGGCTGTAAACAGAAAGCTCTGAGCGATTTTCTTGCCTCGAGTTGATTTTGAGAAAGAGCGAACACCGGGAAGCCGGCTTAAAACATAAATAAGCTTATGCTTGCCTGACTCATGATTTTCTGAGACACTTTCCTCTCAATACTTCTCTTCGTGAATGAAAATTATTGTCTCTGTACATGTTTCACCGAATTAAACTTATTTTATTGATCGTTAGTAGTCCCTCTCGCAATTTTCATCGCTGCACCGGTTGTTTCCAGTCGAACATAAACATCGCATGTGGGAATACTCAAAACGCCGCGCGTAAATATCACTCGCTTTTAAAGATTACACAACAAAATCATACACAGTTTAATGAATAAAGGGAAATAAAACCTAAACATAACAATTTCTCTATCATGTTGAAACGTAAATAGTAACTCTATTAATCGCACTGCAAATTTGGTGCCTGTCAAAAGTGAGAACCCGTTCGGCTGGCCGAAAAGTGATTTTGGGAATTTTTTTATCGTTTTCATTAAAAGCCCATAATTATTACCCCGCATATCACATAGGACCAGATTTTTCTAACAGAAAACGTTTTATAATTCAATGCTATAATTTGTTGTGCAAAGGAAGCGCGTACGTTGATCGTCGTGGATATTGAATCAGTGCAAATTCTCTTGCAAAATTGTGAAAAACTGCAGAATTATAAGTTTAAATAGGGCAAAAAAGAACAAATTCTGTCCGAGGTCTGTGTACTGTTTACCTGAGACGCGATGAGAAAAAGTATGTTTAAAAGGCTGGTTTAAACGCCACCAGATTGGTCGCCAAGATTTACTAGTAAACTAAACTTGTCGAACACAAAAAATCCGGCCTGATTTTTATTTTGGCCTTTCTTTTAGACAGAGGAATGCAACGTGTAAATTGGCCGCCACCAAGGACTATCGTGGCGCATGTGTTTCTTAAAATTATATTTCGGGGTTGTCCAATTATCCATAGTCTCTCTAACGGAGCAATGTTGGAGAGACTGGTGAATGCCACATTATGATGCTACAGCTAATGCAAATACAATACACGAATAGGTCTATTTGTTTTCCAGGCCTAATCTACTGTGATCGAACATGATTGCTATTTTTCGGTGTACAAATAACTTGATGTAAAATTTGTTTCACTCTTGGACGGTCGAATTCTGATTTTTGTCTAAGATCACTCAGCCTTTGCCTCAAAAGTCAAATGAATGTGCCCTGATCTGTGGATTACAAGTTTATTGTTTGATTGAAATTATGAATTTATTAACGGGAGCTTCGCTTTTAGCCCTGGCTAAATCTATATATTACGAAATGATGCCTATCTTGTTCACAGTTAATGCTGGCAATATGCTGGCTCCTAATATGGGAAGTTATGGGTGGCTCAAAGGCGACTGGGTTAAGATTCATGTAGTGTAACCTTCCTTTGATACCCTATTCTATGGACCTTATATACCTCTAGTGTTAACGCAATGACTAAGCAGCTGTGTATATAGATGAACTCAGACCAAATGTTAAATTTAAATGGTTGGTCTGAAGCTGTTTTGATTACTTTGATTTAACAAAAAAAGTGAAAAAAGGTGCACTATGTGTTGATTCTTGATTTTTTTGTTATGATAAGTAAATAAACTCATCTTAGTGGTAGTACTTGTACGTCCATGAAGCTAATATAAATAAATAAAAGTAGTAGTTATTTTTCAGTGATAGTTTTTGCAGTTTTGGTTTCACTTCTATTTGTAAATATCTATGTTAGGGAGAAAAAGGAGAAACAGGGATGCCAGGAAAAGATGGAAATGCTGGCGTTAAGGTATTATTGACATGTACTGCTTTTTTAATAGTCGTTTTGAGTTTTTGGATCCATATACTTCCATAAAAAGTCATTGAATATAAGTTTAAGTTGAACGATGCAAAATCAGCAAAATCATAACCAGACGAGTTTTAACTCGTCTGGTTATCAAAATAGAGTTAAAACTTTATTTTGATCTCCACCACACTAAAGACAAGCAAACTGGCTATTCTCTTAGCATTTGTATTAAAAATAATAATGATGATGGTGATAGTAATAACAATAATAATGAAATACTAATACTAATACTAATAATAATTTTTATAGAGGGAACCCAACTTCCCATGGCAGTTTTAAGTGGGTCCCTCATTAAAGTTACTAAAGTAATTAATTGATAAAAAGTAAAACCTTGCTGCAAAAAGGAAAAAAAGAGTTAAGATCTTAAAATTCGCAGTAAAAAGTAGACTTTTTCTAGAGTGAGAAGTTCCCAAAACATTGTTCCCTATTTTAACTTTAAGGTTGCTGAGGACAGTTTCTCTAGAAATGCTTTATGCATTTACTATGCATGCTAACATTTTAATTATGAGAACATATGCAGCCAATTAGCTTTTAAAGAAAAAAGTGTGAGGACAAGTTGAGAAGTTTCTACGTCTACTTCAATACTTCTAGACGCTTTCACATCTAAGAGATTAATAATGCAGAAAAATAAAAATAAAATAATAGAAATAAGGAAAAAATAATTTAAAAAACGTTGCTTAGATGATTACAAAAGTTTGGGTAACTTTCTCCTCTTATTATTAAAGGGATAAGATTCCATGTTGCCGTGCGTCTGTTCGGTAATAGATCACAGATGACGTCAAAATGTCGTAAAAACAAAAAAGTGGCACACGAGCCGCAGGCGAGTGTGTCACTGTTGTTTTTACCACATTTTGACGTCCTCTGTGATCTATTACTGAACAGACCCACTGCAACATGGAATCTATTTGTTTTATACAATGATCAGAAAAGAAAAAGAGCGATACACATACTTGCCTCGAACCGCTTGACCTTTTGAGGATTTGTGCTAGTTTAGGCATTTTTTAAGTCCCAAACCCAACTTTTCATCTTAGCTTCTTCTTTATCTTACTTGTGTACAGTTTCTTCGAAAAGCTTTTCACCGTCTTTTCTTGCTCAAAGAAGAATAATAGCGAAAACATTTTGCAAAACAGCGAGTCTCTCGTAGCGAAGACACACGATGGCAACTATTGTGAAGATTACTTGTAGTTTAGGCATTGTCATGTAGTCAATAGCTTTTTTGGTCTCCGTTTCTCCATTTTTCTTCTTTGTAAATAGCTCCTGCTAAACTTTTCCCGAAGCTTTCACTTGCCTCAATCGGAAATAATCTCACAAACATTTTCAAAACCGCGTGTCATGTTGAACAAAACAAAGAAAACAAGTTTCCCGTGACGTCATCCATGTATCTGTACTCTAATAGATCATGGGCAACGACCAATCACAGCGCGCGTAGCAGTCACATCATTGTATAATCCCTTATAGTTGTCAATTATTGTCAGGGGAAATTTATTCTGTTTTTGTCTACTTTGATTTGTTGACTTTCAAAGGCAACGTAAACAAACGACAATAGTTTTACTTTAAAATCTACTGATTAAAATTTGTCGACATTTAGCAGAAATCCTCGTCATGCCGTACTGTAGTCAATGAGACCCTCAAATAAACAACAAACAAAGGAATTTTGTGACATGAAAGCTATTTTGAATTCTAAAAAAAATTCAAAAACTGTTTGTTGCAATTTGGTTGAGGTGCTTTAAAGTCTGAGGGTTACTAACTGTAAGCTGTACGCAAATTCATAAGGAAGTCAAACAGCTGAATTTTGAGTAAACCAAACAAATATTCAAAATTTTAGGCTTCTTTTTAACTTAATGAATGCAATGTCTTACACACCCCAAGAAATGGTAATGATCATAACGACCTATCAAACCGTCTTTGGTAACCGTAAAATCTGCAGACTTGGCCTTTAAATTAGTTTATCCCGGCCTGTTTCCTACTGTCTTTTTAAATTAATTTCTCCTGATCATTAGTTTCATTTGTTTTTCGTACTTTTCATTATCTCTAACTCTTTTCTGTTATCTTCATCATCATCATTGTCACTATTTTGTTACAGTTTAATAGCTTTGTTTACTTACTATTATTATTATTATTAGTAGTATTAGTATTAGTATTATCATCATCATCTTGTGTGGTTATTATTATTTCTGTTGTAGGGGGAGAAAGGAGAACCAGGAATGGATAAAAACAGTAATGGTCGTGTTAAAGTAAGCGTAACTTAATTTATACTTCTTTTTGAAGACAGAAATGACCAAGTTTCAGAGTCCAAAACAAACAGGAAAGCGCATGCTTTATCCTTACAGCAACAAAGGAGTCATTCAATTTTCTTTAATGGTCCTGACCTACGAATGAAGAATCATTAATATTACCTTTGATTTCTCCACAAAGGGTGAGAAAGGATCTCGTGGTGACAAAGGGTCACAAGGAGAGAAGGGATCACAAGGACAAAAAGGAATTCAGGGAACGTGTGATACAAAGGTAATTGTCATAAAACATTTTCCAGATTTTCAATCTCCGTAACCTTTTATATATATATATATATATCTATAATTCTTTTTACGAAAGCCTTATTAATTTTATTACCATAGACTTCATACACGTGTTGCATTCACGGTCTCTTCTTTTTCCTGTTATGTTTAAAATAGGAAGGGTGCGTGAGTTAGCGGCAAGGCCATGACAAGTGACAATCGAGATTTTTAAATACTGGTACAAGTCAACTCACATGTCCCACAAGTTCAAGGAAAGAGGAAGAAAATACTCGCAGTCTTTGTTCACTGACATTAAACATGATGTTATCATTAGATTTATATCTCAATGTTATCTTGAAAGTGGGAGCCTTTTTACATCTCTTGATGTTCGATCAAGGGAGATTGTCGTCAGAAGAAGTTGACTGTACGGGTGTTAAACCCTATAGTTTGCATGAATAACTACATTTTAGGAGATTGCAAGCTTTGTTATTAAATTGTATTTTGTTGTTTTTATTTTGCCTTTTAGAGCAAATCGAAGTGCTGTTTAGCTGGTATGAGCATTATTTATTACTTTTGTCTACGATACACATGTACATTGATTCATTAGAAAGAAGAGCTGCCGAAATACGTGGCTCCTTCACATGTACATTAAAACTGCAAAAACAACACATGAGTTACATGTACCTTTCTACCTTATTTTCGATTTATTCTAGTTGTTTTTTATAGTAATTGTTTGATAACAAAGATTTTCAACATTTTTTTTTCTTGTGGAAGATTGCTCTATTGGATTCCACTTCTTTGAGAAAGTTCAAGAACTTCCAACCCGCGGAGCAGTAGATGTGGAACATTTCACCATTGATGGAAGCTTGTTTCTTGCTTTTGCCAACTATCATGGGGACATTAAAAAACACAAGACAGGTTCCATGATCTACAAGATGGATAACTCGACTGGAAGATTGTCTTTGTACCAGACCCTGCAGACAAGAGGAGCTTTTGACCTGGAGTACTTTTCTATCGCAAACAAACATTTTCTTGCTGTCGCTAATCATTACGATGGAACTCACCGGCTGGACTCTACAGTCTATCAATGGAATGGAAAGCTGTTTGTCGACTTTCAGAAATTGTCAACAAACGGAGCAAGTCACTTCACCTATTTCAAGATACTTGGGGAAAGGTATCTCGCAGTAGCCAACCGCTATGACGGAAGTACCCACTCTACAAAATCAGTTATCTACAAATGGAGCAGCGGCAAGTTTAACAGATTTCAAGACATACCAACTGAAGGTGCCGTGGGATGTACAGCGTTTGTGATAAACGGTGACACATTCATCGCTTTTGCAAACTATTACAACTCCCAACACAAGTATTCTGTTCAGTCCACTGTGTTCAAGTGGTCAGGAGATCATTTTGTTAAACTGCAGTCTCTTCAGACTTATGGAACATTTCATGTCATGTCTTTTAACATTAACACTCACACATTCCTCGTCTTTGCCAACCGCTACTCTGGAAGTAAACACAACATCGACTCCTTCGTTTACAAGTGGAACGGCAACAAGTTCGTCTTGTTCCAGTCCTTACCTACTCATGGGGCTGTCGCTTGGCACCCATTTGTGATCAGCGGTCAAACGTATCTGGGTGTGTCTAATTACTATGATGACAGTAAGAAATACAACACTCAGTCAGTTGTGTACCAAGCTTCTGGAGCGCAGTTCATCAAGTACCAAGAGATTTCAACAGATGGAGGGCATGGTATGACGTCATTTGAGTACAAAGGTCATACTTACCTTGCAGTGGTAAACCATTACAACAAGAAATTTAACCTAAACAGCGCCCTGTACAAGTGTGTAGAGCTAACGTCACGTTCCAAGCATAAGCTGGGTGTTATGCCTAACAAAGAACTAGCAAATTTGTGAATCGGAAACCCGAGAAATAAGATGGACTTTAAGCGTAATATTGTCTTTTTGTATTGAGAAGGGATCGTTAGGCAAAGGGAATGATAAAATAATGATATGAATGAAGTTCATTTGGTGAAAAGTTAGGAAAAAAATGTAGTTAATTGCTTTACCATCGCGGTGAATAATAGTTGCAATAAAGATGTGCTTGGAGGACTTTTGTCGTGGACTTTAACTTTCAACCTTGGAGCCAGGTATGACTTTAAAAAAAAAAATCGAAACTGGGGCCTGTTTCTTAATGGTCCCGATGAAAATCAGGCTATTAAAGAAGGTCGTTTCAAGTTTGCAGTATTTATCAGGAGCACCCCACGACGATTTCCTCCTAAATTCATTGAAAGCACTTTTTTTAAGCTATCCAGAGTACTTTTAGATATCTAGAAATGCATTCTAGGCGGCGCTATAAAATTTGTATCTGTTCGCTCAACCGAGGGGAAATTGAGTCTTTTCGAAATTTCGAGGGATTCTGTATTATTTCCCCGAAAATGTCTTATGCAATTTCATATCTCTCATATATTATCATCTCTCTCACCGAGATATGATAATTTTGGTACAGTGAGACAGGCCATCGCGTGATACATAGAGGTTTAACTCACAATTTTTAATCAATTCTCATGCTTCTTGTGCCTTTGCAAAAAAATCAAGAAGTGCTACACACTAAATCTACTTACTATTAAAAAAATACCATGTTTTCATAGGTTTAATGCAAGCCAATAATTAAACCAACTCGTGACGGGAATCCCTTCTATTTTCTTAGACTAAATTATTATATCTCGGTGAGCATTCGGAAGTCAGCCAAGCGTGGTCATTCCATGCGTGCTGAACAAGAATGCTGTATAATGACAGACTAGAAACAATAGACAACTCCCAAAGCACAAACTCAGCCAAAACGCTAAAAATGTTCAATGTTTACTCAAGTTTGGGCTTATAGAAGGTAATGTCACAGTTTTTCAATGACCATGAAATTCAGAGTCCGGGTAGTTAGTTAATCAATTGTGGCCCTGAAAAAATTTGAAGGAAAAAAAACTACGAATTTTTAACAAAATGCTTTTTTCGTGAGAAGGACTCTTAAACGCTGACAAACGTCAACAAATTGCGAAACTATAATTTCTATATGTTTGCTTTGCTCGAAATCGCGCGCATTTACAAGGCCCTAAATTGTTTTGCGGACTTGCAAGGACCCATCTGTTATAAGGGTGCCCAAAATACAGAGATGAATCTCATAGTTTATCAGATATAATCCGTGTAAAGTTTGCTTATCATTTTCGCTTAAATTATGACCTAAATTTGGAAACCGCTGAATTTCTCGAATTGGGTCTTTGCGATTTTGGTGAAACTCTGTTCAGCGCAAGGCACTAATGCGCACTATGTCTAGCCGAGAGATTTTCACGAAAAAATGCCGGCAACAGCAGATTTTCGACTCAGACCTCAAAGGGGCGTGGCATTATAACCACGTGACATTTACTCCGATCGCCAAAAATTTTATGTTATATTGTAGGTTGATCTATATGTTATCCATTCTATGTGTTAGACTTACGATAAAAGTAAAGGTGGGGAAACCAGAGAGTTTCAAAGTAGGATGGTACCCCCCCAAAAAAACTGGGTCGAGTCACCTTAAATGATCATGCTGATAAACACATTATTTAAAAAAATTAAAAATTTTACTTCATGTATACAACAAATAAAAGTTACAAATCTAAACAGATCTAAAATTACCAAGATAAAGATAAAATGTTAATACATTACTAGAACTAATAGTGAGTCACAGGCTTCTTTAAAAAAATAAAAAAGATATCAAATGTTCCTTTTTTTTTTTGAAATAGCTACTGATGGGGAATTGCGTATACGGAGAGGCAAGTTCAGCAGTGCGGAAAGCTTGGTCTCCATATAAGACATATAAGTCAAGTTTAGCCAGTGGCACAGTGGGCACATCTTCACAGTCTAATCGCGTTCGTCAGAACACATCCTAATCTGGTGTTCCTGTGGCTCAAAGGCAGAAATTTTCGAGCTATCACTAGCCTGAAATTCATCCGATTGCTTCGAGTCGTTTTCTCCTCTCAACAACGACGTTACTGAGGGAGTAATAACGACTCGAAGTAATCGGATGAAATTCAGGCTAAGCTATCACTGGCGACTGCCGATTTCCACCCTAGTCGTAACTCCTAACATTTTTTCTATTCGATCATCGACTTGAAGAAAGAGAACAATTATTTCTTGTTTTATTTAATTGTTTAGTTTACAAGTCTAGTTCATTAATATCTCAAACTAGTTTACAGCTTTTTAGCCGAGGACAAAAAATTTTGGTAGTTCAGTATCATTGTGGGTTTAGATACGCTGGAAAAAAAGTTTAAAATAAATCTTTGGAATGATGAATTGTGTTCTTAGGCCCAGTTCAGACGTCGTGCTTCTGCCGTGCCGAACTAAATTCAGGAATTAAGTTCGACAGAAGCACGGCAGAAGCACGGCGTCTGAATCAAACTTTTGAATTAAGTTCGGCAAGCAATTAAGTTCGACAAGCGCTGCCGTGCTACACGACTCTGGCACGGCAGCGATTCAAACGTCGTGCTTCTGCCGCGCTAAACAAAATTCATAAATTATATTAATGTATTTTGGCGAGATTGCGTTCCCAGGGGGAGTTGGGAGAGGAATTGTTACGAGGCATCAGTAAATCCTGAATTTGGTTCGACTCTGGCACGACGTCTGAATCAAAGTTGTTTTCCTGCCGTGCTACAGTCGAACCAAATTACAATTAAGTTCGGCACGGCAGAAGCACGACGTCTGAACTGGGCCTTACTTCAGTCCAGTTTAACAGACGATTTAGTTCGTGCCAACTTCGAGGGGATCCATCAATGGTCACCGAGATGAATATTTCGTCTGACGCACTGTAAGGCGTATTTTGGTTGATCTTTATTTCCAAGGGGACTGGCAGAGAAGAATAAAAGGAACTTACAATTATGGCGGTTTCGAGAGACATACAAAGAGATTAATGAATATTTCAGCAGAATAGTTGGTTACAACAGTGTACTAACCCACAATAATACACATAGCTTTTTTACTACCAGCTTGTCTAATTTTTTCCTAATATCAAAGGAAAAAACTACCATTCCAAGACGAAAAGGGAGAGAAGATTAGGGAAAAGGTCAGACAATAAAAATAACTGCAAGGGTCGAAAAGTGTTTTTCGTAAAAAGCCATTGAAAGAAACGAAGTTGGTACAAGTCTCTTTCAAGTTGAGCGTCTTCTTTTCCCTCCAGATGTAAATTTAGTGACTAGACACTATCGGCCTGAAGCGAGGGTTCTTTCAGACCAAGCAAAACTAAGAGTGCAACCAATACAATTTGGCTTTTGTCCACGATCTCAAACATCAGATTTGCACACATCGTCGAACGTATCTTGAGGCAATCTATCGGGCCCGACAGCCCGACAGTATTTAACAAGCTAACACATAGCTTTGTTTTTCGTAAGCAAACAGGAAGACAAACACCAACAGACAGGTGATCTATCTTTTGTACTAAACTGCATTTTTCAGAACAAAAATCCCTCTTACGTCATGGTAAATTGATTTATTGACATCTGCAGTGTGGTCCCGAAACAGCGAAACTGCACGACTGTCAGACTATCGACGCAAAAACTCCTAATGCGACTCTTCGAGCCTGGAATACAACTCCACGAAAATTTACCAACATTTGACAAACTAGACGACTCTTAAATGGTCGAAGACTGAATGAATTATTAAATCTTTGGAAGAAAGTTAGATTGAAAAGATTAAATCTCGCGGAATAATTGCCAAAGTCTTAAAAAAGAAATTTGTTTCTTCAAATCTGACTTGAGTGTCCGCCATGATCGATCGCCTGAACCCATCAGTATATTGACAACGAATCTTACGATTCAGACAAATAAGGCGATACTTGAACCGTTTTAAGGACTGTTTGGCAGTTGATGTTTTCTTTAAAATTCTTGTTCGTGACATTGAGTCTCTTAAGTAGGTACCTACTTTGTCGAGAACGTATCCTGACAGCGAAATCGTTTCTTGCCCTAATAAAAAATTAACAAAGCAATGTTTTTAGTAATTTTAATTTATGTCCCCTTGCTTACCCTCGGAACTCCCTGATCGGAACCCTCAATAATGATAGCCTAATACTCTTCCAGTCTCAACAGAAATCAAAATTCATTTGTACCGAAAGAGACACGCTTTACTAACCTTTGGAAAGTATCGCTTTCCTACATGGTAAGGTTAAAATGTTTCCAAGAACGACGTTTAAATACTATGAGAATGACAAAATTATTAGGTTGATTATAATAACTCAGTGTCTAGTTAATGCCAGCCGGCTGCAACTGCTGGTGTTGTATAAGAAAAGAGCATGTTAACAGGTTAGGAAAAGAAGACAAGATTGTTTTAAATTTTGCATGAGTATTATCAGGGCGAGAGGAAAATTTCAATCCGCCAATTTGCATGCGATATTGTTTCCTGCGCAAACTGTTATCAATTATCGTTAACCAGAACAAACAACCCATTCATCTTTACTTTTGTATCACACCGCCGTGTACACACAGACAAAGATACTTAAGAAAGCCTTTTAGAAATTATTCACTGCAACTTAAAAAAAAAGCAACAACAACATAAGAACAAACCGGAAAATATTATTTTCCTTTACGATTCTTCAACATGCCTTTAATTAAGGAAATTCAGGAAACGTCGCGCTCTCGTTAGTAAGTTGCAATTGATAGTTGGTCCTAGCAGACACGTTCGTTCGAGAGCGAAAAATAATGTTTTCAACCATTCGTTAAGTTCGTGTTCCGGTATCTCGTCTGCCATATGTGGAGTCATTATATAGTATAATGAGATACTAGCCTTTACGTCCATCTTCAAGTAACTGCAAGTTTAAGCAACGACTTTTT